TCAGGTTATTGTGCTGCCTGGTGAGGTACTGATCATACAGCTGAGCTAGACGGGCTCCCAGGACATGTTCGCGACTGAAGAGTGGGTGATGGGAGTAGATCAACCCAGAAACATCAACATCAAGTTGGTAGTCTCCCTCAGGATCTGCTGTACCAGCGATGTACATATTCGCATACTTGGACTGCATTGCCTGGGGGATTGAAATCATCATCCATCATTCAATATTTTAAAAAACAATGATCGCTATGAAATATGTATATGTATGAACAGACATCTTTAAATCAGATAATCCTTTCTAAGCAAACAGAAGATTTAGCTAAGGGTACGCAAGGACCCCTATACATACAGCGTTTAGCCTAATGTCTGACCAATAGGGTTGACCTCTTGGAGAGAAAGCACAGCCATGCTTGGCCATGCTTCTGACTCTACTTTTGATGCCCTGGGGTAAATGGACCTTTAACTGTGTGTTGCATGGTGCACCGTGGTGCAAGAGGATTGGGCCCTATGTTTTGTTTTTTTTTGACTCATGGTTGCAAATATTTCCACCACATTGTGAACTCAATCAAAGTCAGTGTACAGTGCATGACTTCTTCACTAATCCCTACGCATTATTATTTCATGACCACGTAATATTTTTTTTCCCCCCAAATGTCACCAGAATGGCTCTGTGGCTTTCTGCAGGGGCCTGTGACTAATAATCAGACCTTACAGTGTGAGCACATAAATCGTGAGCTTTGGCTTCACATCGCAGACAATTTACTTTTACAGTATGAGTTAAGATTTAACAACAGTATTTCTGAAATTCCGTATACTCAGCATAAGAGTATTACTACTAACAATATTAGTACTAGAATGATGGTTCAACAAATCCCTAACTCTAACTAATCATTTCCTCATAGAACTCTTCTGTGATGCATTTAATGAATTAGGTAAAATTAAGGTGCTATAAGGCTCTTTCTCCACTGACTGTGATCTCGGGTGCTATAAAAGGACAAAAGGGGACAATTGTAGAGGAAAATATTTTTAGTTTAATTTCCTTCTCTTGATCTTTCTTTTAATGCATCCCGATTAAGGTCCGGTTTTCATACATGACATCCCTCTCTGTGTCAAGACAAATTATTTTGCATCAATTACCAGATACCTGTGTATATCTCTTCAGTCACTTTGCCAGGAAGAAAAAATATCACAATAGCAGAGGTGTTAAAGTGTGTGACCTAATGGGTTTTCAATAATACATTTAGCTATTTATTGACTCTGAATTATGTTGGACTTCTTTCTTTGTGAGGAGCCTTTTGAGGGGTAATAACAGATAACATCACTGCTTGTTCAGATTTGGCAAATGGAGGTGGTGATCAAAGTGAGAGTCACAGTGGGCATGCATCTCACCTTCCTGTATACAGTTTGCAGAGCAGGGTCCAGGTCCTCCTCCATGTGGAAGAGAGGGGGTCTTGTGGATGATTCCTTAATGGGGTCCGGCAGAGCCATGATCCT